AGTTACAAACAGGCTTAGGAAATCACAGTCAGAACCTACATCCTTGTACCTCTTGAGTAGGAAACTACTCAAGAATCCTAAAAGCAATTACACAAACCCCAGAAGACCCTGAGGGCAGGCTTTACACAGCCTCCAGAAGTGATGCCAATGGCAGGGGCATCACAGAACTGCCAGGTCACACCAGGGCTCCTTAGTTGTCACTGTTTGGTTGTATCACTCTCTGTTGACCATTAGGAGTCAGGGGTTGATAACTTGGTTTCTGGTGGACAGGCCCATATCCCTTTGCTTCCTGCTTTTCTCAAAGCTCTGTACCCAGAAGGAGCCAAACCTGTTTAAATTACTGCCAGCCACAGAGATGCAAATATCCATCAGGCTTTTTATTGAACTTTCCTTTCCATAGCTCCACCTTGTGCTCCAGCAAAGGAAGCATTCAGAGAGGAAAGGAACTGCCCTGCTTTAATTAGAGACCCTGCTTTTCCCAGTGACAGGCTATCACTAATTACAACTCATCAGTGACCCCCCACTTGCCTCTGATGCTGCTGCTTGGTGAGCTAATGAGGGGCAGAGGAGGAGCTGGAGCAAGAGGTTGTCCTGAGTGGTTTGGAGTGGTGTAGGGAGTGTTTAATTCACTCTAAAAATGGAGTTTGCACTGTAAGATTGGGCTTTACAACAGCAATGCTGACACTTGTGAGTTGATATTTGAAATGTTGCTAATGCTGTATTTGACTAATAAACATTGCAGCACGTGCTTGCCTTTGCTTCTGAGGGGAAGGAGGTCTGTCCCCGTTCCTTGTTTGTGTGCAGATGACCTGCTCCACCTCATTAGCTCTGCAGTGCTGGTTGGTGTGCTGGGAAGGATGATCCTGAAAGATCCACCCATCTGAAAGGGATGAGGAGCGGCAGCCCGGACAAAGCTGCCATCCCTGCTTCCCACGTGGGAATTGATTCCATGAGGCTGGAGGAACAGGGATGCAAAGGAGCAATAAGTCTCCCTAGTAGGCATTCAGTGAAATGGATAAGAACGTTCCAGCTCTGATTTTTTAAATCACATACATGCATTTAATATTAAACCACATTCTATAATCAACAGGTCAGGTCCTGATTTGGGTTAAATGGTCCTCAGCTGGGGTGCTGACCTTCCTGTCCCTGGGACATTGGAAAGTGCCAGCTGCTGAGTTATTTTAGATGTTTTCTCAAGGACACAATGCACAGCTAGATGCTGTGATCAACCCCTGAAGGAAGTGCTGTCCCTTTGAGTTGTGTAGAATTATAGATTTAAAGGACTTTTGATCCTTAAAAAAACTCTTCTGTAGCTGGATGAAAAAATCCCTCTTTCCTGAAAGCTAATAGAACTAGCAAACTAACCAGTCAACTAAAATAATACAATAACATTTTTCAGAATTGTCTGATTCACCTCAGCTCTCAAAACCTGATATTTAAATAACATGTTATGACAATTCAAAACACTTCAGTGAATTTTACCAGATATTGTGGTTTAAACATATGTATCATATCTCTTTTGACACCAGTGAGATTTCACTCTGTACTCAAAGGCACTACAATGTTTTGCTGAACAGGGGTGTTATAAAATATGTCCTTAAATTAAATTTATTCTTACAAACCTAAATTAGTTAAATGTCAGTATCTGTTATGATGCAGTATGTTATGAGGCATCAGTTAGACTTGATTTGGGGTCACTCAGTACCGTTAGAAGGGAGAATCACACATTTAAGAGGGATCCAGAGAGCCAAGTTTCAGGGTGAAATGATCTTCTCTTGTGTGTAAAGCAGTTGTTGAAGTCTCAGGAAGAGGGATTTGTACTGGGAATGCCGTTGGCATAGTGATAACCATCAAACTGAATGGAGTCTTGGAAAGAACAACACTTGATAACAGCTGTGTTTGCATTAAACATTTTTAGAGTTCAGTTCAGAGCAGCTCTGCACCATATATGTAGAATTTTTATGCAGAATTTGCATACAGAAAGCATGGAATGCTCTTTGCTGGGGAAATTATTTGCTTCTGCTATTTATTACACTCCCCCCCATCCCCTGGGCACACGTGGCTGCAGGGATTCGGGTTAGTAGAGAAAACAGGTGTGCCTGGTCAGAAGAGCAAAAAAGCAAGTATTCAAGGGAAAAGCAGGATTTTTGTTTGGAGTGAGATGTATAAAGCAGCCCTCCCTCTGGGTCCAGCTAAACTGACCTTCTGGCAAGAATGAATCGAGGCACAGATACCACGGCCCAGATTTACCTCATCTAATGCAGATGCTTTAATTCTGTCCTTATTAGGCAAAGGATTTAAGAACAATCTTAAGTCAGGAATATTGTTGTACTAGACTTAGTCTCTCTTCCAAGGAAGAGGGGTTCCTCTGGGTAGTTCTTCAGGTCACCAGTGCACTGAGCCATCTTCTCTCTCTTCAGAGAGACCAGAGGGAGCTTGTGTGGTAAAACTGAACCAGTCCAACAGCTCATGGCAGGTGACAGGGACGTTCTCACTCCTCTTCCTCACCCTTCTTCCCAGTGATGTGGATCACTTTCCTCTGGTGCAGCGCCTCTCCTGCTTGCCTGACTGCACAGTAAAAGCTGAATCAACTCATAAATCTGGAAGAAAAGTATACTTTTTATTTGGTCAGATGGAGCAAAAACATTCCTGCAGGCTGAGTGAATCACATCCAGGGTCAGGAGAGTGCCAGGGAACACATTAAGGAATACTGCAACATGAAGGATTCTTTTCTTCCATCAGAACTGGCCTCAGAAGGTTGTCTCTTGCTTTCCAAAAGGCCAAGGATCCAGTAACCTGGTCTAGTAGAAGCTGTCACTGCTCATGGCCATGAGATTGGAACTAGATGGTCTTTAAAGTCCCTTCCAACCCAAACCATTCCACGATTCTCTGATTCTATGATCCCAGAACAATACTCAGCCTGTGAGCCTCACCTCATGTTATGCCTGGGTTTGGATTGGGAAATGGAAGCCTTGTGAAGGAACAGCTTCTTTGGAGTTCTTCTGGCAGGGTTTTTTTTATCATGAGCCTCAAAACAACTGAAAGTGAAGCTCCCAGAGCTGTGCATGTCCCACCTGCCTCCCTGCTCCCGGGACAGCACAACCTGAATGTGTTGGAATTTGGCTGGAACGCTGCAAATGTTCTTTTTCACCTGAAATGCACATTCTCATTTTAATGACCCGAAGTGTCAAGTACCTGAATTTTATATGTCATGTGTAAGATATCATCCCTGGCAGGTACTGCCATCAATCCCATTTTGGGTCATCTCCTCTGCAGTGATTTAGGAAGTGGGATGCAGCTTCCTGGCTCAGCAGGATCACTTGCAGCACTTCAGAGGGTGCTGCCTGAGACAGTGACTTGGTCCCACCTGACCTGCATAGCTCATGACATCTCAAAGGTCCCATGACCAGCTGATTTCACATGTGTCTGAGGTAACCAGACCATTTTTCTTTCCTTCTGAGAGAGAGAGGTCCATGAGTAATAGCAGATATTTTCAGTTCTTTTGGTATTTTTGCTTTTCTAATCACAGTTTATTTTTTTCCAAGTCTTTGAGCTGTAGATTTTTTCCCCCCTTTTCAGTCTTTCTGCAGGAAAAAAAAAAAAATCTCAGCAGTGGGTTTTCGTGTAGGCCAGCAATAAGAAAGATGCAGTTCTGCTGTGGTTGTGCCACCTGTGTAAAATCTATATCCAGGTTTTAACTCCTAGTTGTTGCCTGGAGCTCTCTTAGGCTTCTGGAACAGAAAATCCACGTAGAACCATGGAAAGTGCTCTCTGTGTCCAGTGTTACCACAGTCAGAAGAAAAAACCCAACACTACCTGTCTTGTGAACCAGAATTCTGCCTTTTGGGTAGAATAACACTGTTTTTTCTTGTTTTAAAACGAGTTAAACCATAAAAATAGTGTGAGACAGGTGGTAACCACCATACAACTGCGAAGGAACGTGCCGGCTGGTTCTCCTTTAGATACTTGGTGAGGACAATGCCTGAATGTCCAGAGCTCCTTGTGCTGATTGTTCCTGTTCTTACCAACTGGAGATTCAGTCCATCTTATCTCTTCATTATTTCTTCAGTCTTCCCTCGATGCCACGTAGGGGTGGAGGTGACAGCAGGTGCCATGTGGGGTCTCGTGTCCCCAGAGCTGAGACATTCTCTGCCCCCCGTGGCTGAACGCTGGTACACAATCGGGTTTCCTCGGGGAGCAAGAGTAAACTTGTCTTCCATGTTCCTCCTTCATGTGCAACCTATAGAAGGCTTTAAAAGAGGGATTCTGGGCTAAGGGAGAGCTGTGCAGTTTTGGAAACTTTTTTTTTTGTTGTTATTATTTTTATTCAGGGTGAGAACAGAATTCGTCTCTTAAGGCTGCATTTCACGTGGAGGGAGGCAGCTGCGTTCCCATGGTCTGAAAGGGATGGGGTGTCTACGGGGTAGGACCTCCCCACTCTCAGTGTCCCCTTGTGCTTTCCAAGTGCTTAGAATTCCTTATAAATTACAGTCTTCTGTGGTACAGAAAACTGTGCTGTTTTAACTGATTGGAGGGGTGGTGGTGCTGGGGGGGAATATAATAGGTTGGGAAGTATTTTCTTGCTGTGCTTGATGGTTTGTTTAGGCTTCTGTCCTGCATCAGGGTCTGAAGGAAGGGACCTTTCCGTGCCCAGTGGGACTCCCTGCCCTCTACTATCACATCCCTAAGTGTGGCTTCATATATAAAATCCACTGTCAGCTGTAGCACCTCCATATACTTAAACTGCTCAAACAGTATAAAGGAAAGGAGTTATGAGATATAAATCCCAGAATACTGATAGTTCCTGGGCAGTGGGCAGGTGTTAGTGTTCATTTCAGGTGGTAGAATGATTATTAAATCCCAGATCACTTGAATCCACTAGGAAACCTGAAAAAAAAACACACACGAGGAAATAGTTTCCAAGATGAAAAACATTTAAGTTTACACTAGAGAGACAATAAGCAAATTATTGACTTCGAGAATCCCATTTTCAGGAGGCTGTGAAAAGTGCTGGGAGAAGGGTCCAGAGATCAAAAGGAGACAAAAATGTTAACAGATCTTCCTGAGAACAAGAATGTGGCAGCAGGAGGGAGACTTGTCAGAGCCATCCAGGGTGACAGCATGGAGGGCAGAGAGAGACCTACATACTCTATAAGGTAATCTAAAGAAACTGGCCCTCCCTGCTCAAAGCAGAGAGAGCTGAGAGCTGGCAGTGAGCACCAGGAAGCCCTGGGGAGCTGCTAAACAGCTGTATTGCTTATATTGTTTTTAAGGTTTGTTTTCTCAGAATGGTTTGGTTTATAAGATCTGCCCAGAGTCTGTAGATCTGGGCTCTTCACGCTGCCAGTGGTAGAAAACAAATACTTGGAGCAAAGTATTTTTAGCTTGAGCGTGACTCTGTGGACAAAAATCATCTGTGGATCAAATATTGTTTTTCTAACTTTAAAAAAAAAATATCTTTGACATCCAGTTCTTCAGAATTACAGTGAATTCTCACAGCTTTGCCCACAATTCATGTATCCATCCATCTCTTCATCCACACAAATCCAGTTTAAATTGTAAATTTAAGCACACACTTAGGTGAGTGCCATTTGTTTAACACCTGGTGCACTAAGGTGCAATAAGAAGGGCAGTACATGGGCTGATGTCAGGAATCTGTCAAGGATAAATGTTATTGATAATAAATGCTGAGTATGCAGCCAGTAAATATTCATAGAAAACAGCATTGCCTTTCTTCCTGCTGTTTTATTTATTTCATTAATTTTTATGCATACTATGTCCTAAAAAACATAGGATTTATTCTGAAGAAATCCCTACACAGTTCTTTGCTTTTAGGAGAAGAGCAAGCTCCTCAGTTTAAGGGTAAGAATATATTAGAGGTAGGAGACAGTAACTAGAAGAAAAGTAGTTGTTTCCCAAAGGTATGGTGGAGTGAGAGTTGAAAGACGAAAAGAATTTGCTGCAGTCTTGTGAGAAACAATCACCCTTTGGGATAATCCAAACTAATAAACCCTCTCTTTTACACTATTAAGAAATTTCTTCCTACATTCTTAATCTACCACATTTCCTGGTGCTAATGATGTGGGCAGTTCTTTCCTCAAATGTGTCATTCCCACTGTACTTGGTGTTCAATGAAATCTCATTTCTCCCCTTAAGATGCAAAGGAACACAAGCAACAGGAAACAATTCTGTATTTTGAAAGACCTGAAACTCCATTTGGTTGTGTCCCAAGTAATTTAATAATATGTAAGTAAGGGTTTACCTTTTACTTTTTTTTTGGTGTAAAATGCCCATTTCACAGCTGTGCTACCAACGTGAGCTCAAAAGCATCCATGTGCTCCGAGTTACACCTCAGCAACAGCTGCAGCTCACTTCCCACCTGGCTTTGGCTCACACCAGTCACGTGTAAAGAGCTTGGAGCTGCCTCTCCTTGGAGCTGTGCTTGGGCACAGCGAGGGAGAGAACCAGGTTGCTCAAAATGAGAGGATGCACCAACAAAACATGACACCCTGTGACTTGTGAGCACCTCCTCACAGCTTGCACACCCCGTGTGCTGGGGCTGTTTTCATCTGCTGAACTGCAAAGATAAGTACCTTTCTAGTCATTGTTCTGCAGATTCCCTTTACTCATCTCCAGGTATGAGTAGGAAGAGCAAGAGCTTATATAAACAGAAAATGGAGAAGAGTAGCTACTTTATATTTAAAGATGTGTCCCACAACTGAGAATGCCAGCTGTAATCCTAATATACAAAGAGAAGGAAGGTGACTGGGGACAGGAGGAATGTTTATGCAGGGGGGATCTCACCTCCTGAAGATGCTGCTCTTTTGAAGGGGGTCTGCTTCCCTGAAGAACTGTGGGGTTGGGGAAGGATTGCTTTCTTTGCCATGGAAATCTATAGAGCCCAGTCTGTGACTCGGATGATTGGCAAGAAAGTATTCTTTTAAAGATCACTTCTGTTGACCTTGATAGGAACTGTGCCACTGCCTTCAGAGGGACCTGGACCAGGCCCTGATCTGTTGAAGAAATAACAGTGACAAGGCTGTTTTCCCTCCTGGCCCCTACTTTTGGCTCTTCTGCCCACCCCCGTGTTTATACTTTCTCAAGCTGGGCTGGTTTGATTGCAGCAGCACAGACAGTCCCTGTATCCCTCTGACCCAGCACTGTGTGGAGCTTTTTGCTCAACCAGCTCCTCCAATTATTAAGGGAATAGCCTCAAAGAATCTAAGGAATCACAGATATTCTGGGGGGGAAAAAAAATCTGTTGGCTGCGAGTGAGTGTGTAGAGAAGGAAAAGAATGATCTAACATCTTGATTCAACATGTCTGTTATATCAATCAGTTGCTCTGAGTGGGTAGCAAAGATATGATCTAATAGGTGCAGGATTCTTATTTCCTGTGAGAAGCTAAGCATACCTTTTGGGTGAGATCAGAATGTTTTTATTTTGGTTTATTCACCAAGTATTTTTATCAGCTAACTTCAATGGCCACGTGGCAAAAAGCATTTAAGTCATTATGCTTCAGACTATATAAATATCATTAAGATCTTCTAGTAGCTCTTTTATAAAACTTTATAGTATATATTCTCTAAAACTTTTCAAGTGATGTGCTAATTTTCTCCCTGTGTTGCCCAAGCCCAGGTTCATATTTAGGTATAAAAATTATTTTTTTCCTTTGAGAAAATGCATTTAGTAGTAATGCAATCATCCTCAGAGTTAACTTCCCTCAAATTCAAGAGAAAGAGATAAATTAGAATGAAATCAGAAATACCATCATCTGCCCTGGAAATCAGCGGTGTCTCCGCAGCGATAAGTGGCTGGATTGATATCCACAATCATATTTAGGCATCTCACTTTGCCTGGGTTTCCCTGGGAATTCAGACACTTAATTAGGATTTGGTTTGATTATCTCTGTGCACCTGGCTCCCTGCCTGGTATGAAGTGTCGGCAGGATCAGCCCCCTCAGCTCATATGCTCAAATCTTCCAGGATCCTTCTGTAGGCAAGGCCTTGTGCTCCCCAGTGACTCCAGTGGAGTCAGGAGAGCCTGGAGGCTGCTTCTGTGGAGCTCGTTTGGGAATCTGAGTCTATGTTTTATTACAAATGAGGAGCTTTCCATATTTATTTTTTTTTTTTTGTCTGTGGGGTGATTTCTTTGCCTTTAAGGTATCACAGAAGCAGAAGAGGTAATTGGAAGAGGTTAGCAAAATATAAGATACAGCAAGGAATTGTTCTGGTAATCAACTTTAAAAAGGCTGGGACACTGAGTTTCCTTCAAGGCTGCTTCCTTTCTCCTCCCTGGATTCAGAACTAATTAGTGTTCCAGTGTATACAGTGCAAACATTTCCACTGGGAAAGGTTTGGATTGACTGGAGTGACTTGAATGCAAGTGCTCAGAAGGCAAAATTGTAACAAATATATTCCAAGCAGAACCAATCAGCCCTTAATGCCAAGCCAGGCTTGCACTGACCTCGTGATGCCACGGCCTTGCAATTGGGTGTATTACAAGGTGTATAAATAGACAAATGAGCTCCACCTAGCAAATAATCCAGATCAAATTCGTGGATTGACATATCCTCGTTGTTATTTTTCCCTTCACTCAGCTTTGTGCCATCTCCAATCTTTACCAGCAGCAATGCTGCCTCTTCCTCTGAGCTCTGGGATATGATTGAATGGCACTGCCCACAGTAAGACCCCTGTGCTACTGCCAGTGCTGTGCCTTTTGGAGCTCCCAGACTATTTTCTTGGCACTTTTGGATTTTATTTTCCATATGGAGTGGTTTCTTGGCCATCCTCGAGCCATAACTTGGGTGCTCAATCAGCTTTTTGAAAGAACTGTTTTAAAATTGATGTTCTGTGAAGTGTACCCTGGGGATTTTTTGGATTTATTCTGTCAGCTCCACCACTTCTAACCAACCAAATTTATAACCATAGAATCACAGAATGGTTTGAGTTGGAAGACCTTAAAGACCATCTTGTTCCAACCCCCTGCCATGGGCAGGGACACCTTCCACCATCCCAGGTTGCTCCAAGCCCCGTCCAACCTGGCCTTGAACACTTCCAGGAATGGACAGCTACAACCTCTCTGGTTGCCAAATCATGAAATAATTTTAAGAATTTAAGAGCTGTGCTCCGTTTAATCAAGAGGATTGATAACTACCTGGGTTGTGAGCCTGTGGCTTTGGAAGCGAGTGCATCTCCTTATAATAATCTTAGTTGAAATCGATGCCGTGCTGATCCTTGTGTAATTACTCAGAGTTCCCAAGTTTCTAGAAATGTTGGTGCATAGATTATTTTCTGCCTCTTCCATGCTTTTGCCAGATTTATTATATAAAAATCCTACAAGCTCCGAGCTCCTTGGACAGCTTTTCAAAACTCTGAAGTGTAAATTATCTCCTATCTGGATCCAGGTAACCCTGTGGTAACTGAGGAAGCATCAGGGAACTGCCTCCATATGGAACTGTAATCTGTTGCTTTCTGCTTCACAACCAGAACCCAGAAAGGCTCCAGAAGAAGATGTTGCAGCCTTGAGCAGCTTCTCTCCCTGTGCCATGCCTGGAAAAGTACTGTGTGTAAGACTGACAGAGTCAGTGGAGCCTTCTTTAAATGCCCCCAAGGCTTGGAAAACAAAGATTGCTCTAAGGTAAGAGCCTGTAGATAAGAGAATTCTTTCCTGTATTTTCTGTGTACTTTGGCAGTGTTTACCAGCTCATCCTTTGTGTTATGAAAATTAGAAGTTCAACTATTTTGCTGGTTGACGCTTTCTGCAGAGAGCAAAAAACCAAACTGCAGCTTCATCTCCCAACAGTTAATGCACATTTCCAGAGGAGATGACTGAGAGAAAGGTGCACTACCTTTATAAAGAAAAAAAAAGGAGAAGCCCACTCCACAATTACTTTTCAAGACAAACATTTGGGCATTTTGCCAGAAAAACATAAAATGCTGTCCCTCATCTGCAATGTGCATCTCCCTCTTGCAGCTTATCCCAGTGACTGCTTTCAGGCCTTTGAATGGAACCTAGAAAAAGTTGTATTTCAAGGAATAGCCCTGGAAAGCTTTGATTCATTGCTTGTGTTCAGGATTTGTGAGATGTGCTGTAATTGCATATGTTATTACTCTTGCAATATTTTGTATTACGTTACTGCACATTTATAGACCAAAACTTTTTAGACAGATAGAAAGCAGCCTGAGAAGGAGGGCAGACATAAATCAAGGTATAAAACTGCCCTGAATAATATTTTATGTTTCACTATATTGACCTGGAATTACAGGATAAAGACATTTTCCACTGGTGCCCTGTTCTTTTCTTGCTTTCCCTGTGTATGTGTTTCAGGCTTGTTGGAGTTCTCCATTAAATCCAGAATCTGTATCAAATTGAGCTGCAGTGTGCTGCAGCACAGAAAGATTTCAAAGCAACAATTACTCTATTATTTCAGCAGAGATTACCTGTTTGAAATGAAACCCACACTGAATCCTTTCTGACCTGGTCCTTATTGTGATACTGATAACAAGCCACACTTTCCAGGCTTTATCTTACCTCCTACAGGGTAATCTTTCCTTGTGGAGCTTAATTCTGCTAATAGCACCCTTGACTGGTTGCCAGACAACAAACACAAGCAGGTGAAAACTGAATGGCTCCAGTCTGACCACTGATAACTCATAGAGACTTTTTATTCTCCGAATTCCCTCCAAAATATCCAAGTTAACCGGTGGACAATCAATCACATTCCTTGTATGCTTCTCCCTCCTTCAGATTGGTTATTCTTTGAAAGAAATTGTGATGATCTTTTCTACAGTTTCAGATTCCTTTTTTTTTTCCCCTCCTCCAAACAACGGTAAATAGTAATTCCAGATGGTAGAAATTACTTTTAAATTAAAGCAGTTAATCCAGGGAATGAATGCTTATCTAATTCCCCTGTTTTAAGTGGTAATGATACGATGGAAATGGGGAAAACTGATGTGCACTGAAGGTATGCAAAATAGTTTGAGATTGTAAAATGCTTTCTTCCCCCCCCCCCTTTTCTGATTTACTGTGCATGAAAATGAATTATAGACTCGTGAAGAAAACAGAAGTTTTTATTTGCTGAACTCAATAGGCTGCTTTCTGGGGACTTGAACTTTGCAAAGTGCTGAAAAAAAGATTACTGCATTCCACGGACAATTTCTCTGTTTGAACCAAATGGGAGGGATGACAGTGTGCTGTGCTCTGCCTTTCTGCTTCCCCAGATAAACCTCAGGACTGTTCATTATTCCTCTGTAAACGTCTGCGAAAGCAGACCCTTAAAAACTCTGCTAAATTACGTATTTGAGCCTGGACTTATCTTTGGTTGTGGCTGCCCCATTCCTGGAAGTGCTCAAGGCCAGGTTGGATGGGGCCCTGAGCACCCTGATCAAGTGAGTGGCATCCCTACCCACAGCAGAGGGGTTGGAACTGTATGATCTTTAAGGTCCCTTCCAACCCAAACCATCCCATGGTTCTATCATTCTATGATTTAACCAGTTCCTCTTAAAACCAAGGAGTGCAGCAGATCCTCAGCACCTTGCAGGTCTGGACCATGTGTGAACCAAAACCATTATCACGAGGAGGGCGGTGTAAAGGGGCCTGAAATCAGTGAACAGGCATTAACTCACACCAGCTGAAGGTTTGGGGGGGACTCATTTGTTTTTTTCCAAAATGATTTTTCTTTTACCATCTGAGTATATGATTATAAGGTAACTAGTTAGTGCTAAGGGGGAATATGGTTGGCTTCACTGGAAAATATAAAAGTATCCACTGTTCCTTCAGGGAAATCATTTTAATAGATAACAGCATGTTGTACAATGTTTCATCAGTGATATTTAGATCTAAATTAGGAGCAGTTGTGAGATGGGTTGCCGATTTTCTTGTGATAAAAGGGAAATAGTTCAAGAAATATGGACCAGATGTTATCTTAATCCAATCCTCATGTACAAGAGCACACTATGAGACAGTAATAATAGTCCCTTCTACCTGTTTCTAATTTTCCTGCTCTGAAACACCCCCTGTGAAAAATAGATTAAACCAACACATCATTTATGAATCGGCACTAGCGGGTTGGAGTTTGTGTGGAATGCGGCGTGCGTGGCACCGACCGGAGGGTGCAGCCACCAGATCCTGATCCATGTTAGAAAATGCTCCTTTGACAGTCGTGTTTAAGACAGCAGCTCTCAGTGATTTAGAAGGAGAGCAGCCAGTTTGGGTTTGAATCAGGCTTTTGGTTCAGCGTATCCCTACGCAGTTTCAAATTTGTCATCGGTGTTTCTGGGCAGTGCATGTTATACAATCCTCAGCAGGCCAAGGAAAGAGGGGGTTGATCCTCAGCTGCTGTAAATCAACACTGATCCATTGATTTAGATGGAACTACTCTGATTTGTACCATCTCATGGTCTGGACAAAGTGTATTAACTTTCCCCATGAAAATCCTTCCCAACAAAAAGCTCCATTCACAGTCCCACTGCATAAGCAGTAACTAATGTGTCTCTGTTCTCGTAATAATGTTTAATACCTGCATCATTTCCTACTTGCTGGGGCAGCCGAAACATTACTCTTTGCATTGACGTAAGAGGCCGAGTGCTGCGCATTTGTAATATTTGGGACAGCTTTTTCCATAGCTCCCTGTCTGAGCTAAAGCATTTTGCTGGAATATTCCTGTCTCTTGGCATTTTCATGCCAAGGAGGCGTTTGGGCAGCTGTCTAGCGACTCAGGAGACAAGACTTTAATTTTCCTTTGAGGAACACAAGCAGTATGAAAATAATTTATTCAGCAACTTTCAGAACTGTGGGAACTACCGGGGGGGGGAGTTTATTCACTGGAAGTAGCAATAGCTGTGAGGATACCAACAACAGTGTTAATTAGACTGCTTTATCGAGGCTGGACACCTTCACATTTTTGGATTATTCCAACCTATTTAGAAAACACAGTAAAATCCTGTTTTCCAGGTTGGACATTTTCATATTGCTACGAACAGAGGAAACAAGAGCAGGCAATGAGACAATTAATCTTCAGAGCCGGCCCACACAGCTGGCTGGCTGCTCCAAGGATTCCACGAGGGCAGAACCAAAGTTTTCCTTTTGAAACAAACTCCTTTGGTCCTACTTTTATTTTAAAAAAGAATTGATATGCACAGGTAAGCTGAAGAGGGACTTTTGACAAGGGCATGGAGTGACAGTGCAAGAGGGAATGTCTTCAAACTGACAGAAGGCAGGGTTAGATGGGACATTGGGAAGGAATTCCTTATTGTGAGGGTGGTGAGGCCCTGAACAGGTTGCCCAGAGAAGCTGTGGCTGCCCCTGGATTCCTGGAAGTGTTCCAGGCCAGGTTAAATGAGGCTTAGAGGAACCTGGGATAGTGGAAGGTGTCCCTGCCCATGGAGGAGGTTGGAATGAGATGGTCTTTAAGGTGCTTTCCAACCCAAACCATTCCACGATTCCGTGGTATAGCATTGCAAATGGATTCACCCCTCTGGTGTTTTTTGGGTGTGGGGTTTTTTTTCAACATCTTTAAAGATAAATGGTCAAACTTATGCTGGAAAGAATGGATCTGAAGGGCCAAAAAATCAGAGAATCCTAGAATAATTTGGATTGGAAGGAACTATAAAGATGATCAAGTTCCAACCCCTGCCATGGGCAGGGACACCTTCCACTAGACCAGGTTGCTCCAAGCCCCATCCAACTTGGCCTTGGACACTTCCAGGGCTGTGGCAGCCACAGCTTCTCTGGGCAACCTGTGCCAGGGCCTCACCACCCTCTCAGCCAAGAATTTCTACCCAATATCCCATCTAACGCTGCCCTCTGGCAGTGGGAAGCCATTCCTCCTTGTCCTGTCACTCTGGGCCCTTGTCCCCAAGTCCCTCTCCAGCTCTCTTGGAGTCCCTTTAGGCCCTGCAAGGGGCTCTCAGGTCTCCCTGGAGCCTTCTCTTCTCCAGGCTGAACACCCCCAGCTCTCCCAGCCTGACTCCATGGGAGATCTGCTTCTGAGGTTGTGGGCTCACACAGGAGAGCTGGAATCTCATGAGTTCCCTTAAAATGTTTCTAATCTGTCTGTGCATCTATAAATACCCATGGGAGATGTATCAACACATCAGGGAAAAAATTGTTCAGTATTTCTGTAGGAAAATATTTTCTTTGCGTTAATCCAGCAGCTGCCATTTTATTTGTATTGTGTCTGTACCTCAAGGCCCTACTTATCTTTTGAGGGTCCAGTTTTGTTTGGTTCTGTACAAACGTTTGCAGGGAAATTGTCTTGAGCCAGACAGCGCATGAAGATGAGACAGGTGGATCAACAGGAATGGGAGGGGATGGGATCATAAAGGGATGGCAGAAGATGTAAAAGTAGAGTCCAAGTTGCCACATGGCCTGAACTGCTCACATCAATGGCAAAGCTGTCATTTGGGATGAGAGTGCCTCAGAAATACGCATGGAAAACTTGATGGATTAAAGTAGTTAATGAGAGAATAAAATGAGAGGAAGAAAAACGTGGAGTGGCTGAAAACAGTTATAGGGGAGAAAATCCACCTGTGGATCGGGAACACTTGAAAGGCTGGAGCAGCAGAGCTGGTTACACACATCTAATCAAAATGCAAAGTGCAGTTTAGAGCTCTCAGTGCTAAAAGACACCAGTGGTG